CCTCCTGCAGCGGCAGCAGCCGGGGCACCCTGAGCAGGCCGCTGCACAGACAGGGCGGCCGCACTGGCACCAGCAGCAGGCGCCGCCCCTGCCGCAGCCGGCCTGGCAGCCGCTGCCACGGGACCTGCTTGCGTGGCGCCTGCCGCCGGCTGAGGAAGCGGTGGCGTGGCCGTACGCGCGCGCTTGGTGCCCTTCGGGACGTTGCAAGGGATATGGCGGCATGGGGGGCGGCAGGAGTGCTGTATTAGGTCCCGGCGTCCTCTCGGCATCACCCGGTTATCAAGACACGGCTTTGGGTTTGGTCGGGAGTGCAAAGCGGGCAGCCACGAACCCGCACAGCCCAAGCACAAGCCCAGTGTAATCCCACCCTGAGCTGCGAGTAGCCCACCCTGCCCACCCACCCGCTCCAGTTATAACCGCAACGTGCAACCAGCAATCCTTCCCCCGCTTACATCTGCCGCGGGCCGGGACTCCTCCGAAACCTTCCGCTTCGTCCCTGCAGCGGCCGCGGCTACGGCAGCCCCTTGAGCCGGTGGCGGCTTGGCGGCTGCTGGGGGCACTGAGGGCGGCCGCTGCGGCGGCTGCGGTGACGTCTGGGTCTTGGGCTCCTCTTCCTGTAGGTTGTAATGGTGGCGCACACCGAGCGGGGTTGCGATGCGGCACATGACTGCTGGACTTGAATGTTGCTCAAACTGAAACCTTAAAACCTCAAAACCTCAAACTGTAGGTTTTCTAAGTGAGACGACAAAAAATCAAGGTTTTCTGTGTATTTGGCGAGAGCGTACTCGGTTGAATATCGTTGGTGTGTACGGCTGGACCGTATCGGGCTAGAGTAAGTCGCAGCAGTCCGGCGGAAAGAGTAATTTCGCGAGTTCATAGCGTCAGTACTGACAGGTTTCCACTGCGGCTTCTGCCCTAATCTACAGCGTTCAGAAGCAGAGTCGCTCGGTAACCAGGCTCGCCCCCTCCCACGGAAGCAAGCACAACTTTCTTGCCTGCAGGTACCCCTCCGTCTGTACGACCCCTAAGCGGTAAGGTAACTACTCAAGAAAACCCAAGTTAGCTATGAAAAGATACCCTTCTTTCCCGGAGGCTTGAATCCATTTGTGTGCACGGACACCGGAAGCGGGCCGAGTGCGTACCCTCCAGCCCAGACT